CCCTGGGGTGTAGATTGTCAGGGCCAGATGACTCGAAGGTGTCCAACCTCTCAAGGTGTTCCTTCACAAGGTCAGCATTGATGAAGGTCAGGGAATCTCCCTCACCCAGGCATCCCTGTCCCGTAATAGGCATGGGCGTCCCATGGGACTGATGAAAGACTGATGCAAAGTACCCATTTAATAGGTTGGCTTTTTCCTGGGCGTTGGTTGTCAGTTATCCCATCTGGTTTAGCAGGGGTCCAATGTTGCCCTTGCTTTTCCTCCGGCTCCCCACATATCTGAAAACGGACTTTCTATTGTCCTTGATGCTTGTAGCTAGTTGGAGTTCTGTCGCAGCCTTGGCTTTCCTGGTTCTCTACCTACAGGTCCAGACCAGAGCAGAGTATTCCTCCTTGGAGGTGGATCCCATCCTCCATCCTTTGTAGGTCTTTCTTTTTAGCCACAGGAGGTCCACTAGTTCCCTAGAGAGCCAAGGGGGCTGCTGTGCCCTTTTGCTGCCTTTCTTCTGAGAGAGAATAGCCTGAGCTTGTGCATCATGGATTGCTCCCTTGAGGAGCAACCACTCTTCCTGAACTCTCCTCCCCTTGGGGTCAAGGTCCCTTAGGGCCTCACAGACAAGCCTCCTGAGCTTGTCAAAGTTAGCTTTCCTAAAGTCTGTATTGCTGAGAGGGAGTAAGGTGAGAGGACACAACCTCGTATGGGTGTGTGAGGGGACACTTAATCCCATAGTGTTTGCACAAAGTGTATTTCCAGAATGAAACAAAGGGTTGCCTATTGCCTGCAGTAGCTGTCTAGAGAGTTGTTTGGCTGTATGGCCAGGAAGGATCAAAGGAGTCCATTTTCCCTGGAGCAGCAGAAGCCTCACTTCCACCATCTAGTGGCTGATCATAGATATAGTTGCGTTGCCATTTATTGCATGGGAGGTGGTTTGTGATCTTAGGAGAATCAATTGGGTTATGGGTGGGGGAAACTATTGAAAGGGTTATAACCAGGTCAATGTAATTACTGAGGTTGGACCACCCAGTGTGTTGGAATTATCCGCCTAATGTTGCTATGGTAAATTTTATCCAAATTGTTGGTTTTATTATTAGCTATTGTTATTATATATATATTTTTAGTATATTTATTTATTTTCCATATATAGATTGGTTGTATATAATCAAGAAACTAGGTGTTCATTGGGTCCGGAGTGAATTCCTGGGTGGTGAGGGTGAGGCACACACCTCTCCATGGGACACCTCAGTCAGCAGATCCGCCTGAGGGGTCTCCCCGGGTTACTGGCACCCTGAGGACTCGAAATCCAGTGCATCAGCTGGCTTCTAGCATACTGACATGGGTTATGTGCGGGCCGCCTCCCGCTCCCATCCATGTCGCCATGAGCGGGCCGGGAGCGATATGCGGACCCGTCTTTGTGCACGTGGGCTGTGGCCAGCAGCCCGGGCACGCGGGGTCGGAGAGAGACCCGGTGGCGAGCTAGAATTAGTCACGGATGCGTAATGGTTGATTAAAAGATTGTTTACTTACACCAGAGATGGTCGTGGTGTAGGCTGGACAGTTTCCAGGTTCAGCTCCACTTAAATCCTCGTTAGAGGACTACGACAATTGGCCCCGGATTTATTGAAGCTCCGCTGGTTCGGTAGTTTCGATAGGAAGGGATACGTCTAGGATTGCGCTCGGTGACGGGGAGAGGCTAGAGGCCGTTCGGTAATTGGCCCCGGAGTTGTTAAGGCTCCGCGGGTTCGGTAATTTTTTGGCCTCTATTGCCTTCTTAAGGAAAAAGTTGGGTTCGAAGGAATGAGCAGCGCTTAGAGATCTTCACGCTCTTTCTCCCGAACTCCAATTGCTTTCTCTCTCTCCAACTTGGGCGGAAACCTCCCAAGCTCTTTATACGGCTAGCAAGCCAATCGGTAGCTGCGACGTGTGCATA